TATTCTCTTTATTCTGCATATAAATTAAATTTATCATTAATATAGAATTATAATATATTATAAAGCGAATAGTCAGTCTAATTTAATAGTATTGGTGTCTATATTAAATTAAAATACTGTTGACCCTCTCAAAACTGATACTGTCAAAGCCGATAACCTGTCAAATCTGATAAAAAATTAATTTACCAAGTTCATTCCCGTTATATAAATCTATTAGTTTACTATGTTTTCAAATCCGATAATCTCTTAAAACTGATACAAAAACTGTCTACCATACATACCGATTCTGAGAGGGTCAACAGTATAAAAGTTTTAAAGTTTTTTAATGTAATTTGACCACTTATACCAAATTTACTTTAAATTATCTTTTCTTGGTCTGATTTTTGTTGCTTTTGAATTGATGCTTGCACTGTCTCGAGACATTCACTTTGTTTAGGTGCAGTAAAAAATGTAATTAGACGGTTCATCCAAGTAATTAAATGCTTAGCAGACAAAAGCCCCTTTTGTACAATCAAATTCAGTATATGAGCAGGACACGAAATCTATTTTACACCAAGTTTATTATATGCAGACTTCATGTTTGCCTCGCTATCAGACGTAATCGAGAAAACTTTGTTTTTCAAATCCCAATGTTCAAGAACATCCTCAATGCATTTCGCGATCGCATCAGCTGTATGAGAATATCGAAGAAAAGTAACTGCTAAAACAGCATTATTTAGCTAAAATTTTCATTGATCCATGTTGCTGTAATACCCAAGTAACCTTTATGTGAATATGCTGTCCTCAAATCTGCAGTTAACGATACTGTTTTAGCTTGGTGCAAATCATGCCGCAAGCAGGAGCTAATTTGATTAAATCTCTCATTGATAAAATTTTTAACCTTTCTTCTGCCTGGTACAACCCATCGTGAATCTACAATTTTTGCAAATTGTTTAAACATTTTTTCTTCTATAAAAAAAAGTGAAAGATTTTGCACAACAATGACTTCAGTAATGGCCTTATTACAAATAGCCTGTTCAGTTGTATTATGCAGTTTTGATAAAGAAGTTTCAAATACTTTTGTTATTGTTGTCTGCTTTTTGTTTAGCTTATAAAAAAAAGAAAAAAGTGTTAATAGCAGTCGAATCTAAACTAAGTCGATATTATAAAAATTGGGTTAACTGGCTCTAAAAATTGATCAATAAATCGATCAAGGAAATAATTAAGTATTATAATAAATTTTATTTATGTTTGTTTTAAAATTTAAAATCCACTTAATTTGATTCTAATTCTAATATATTTTTGATTAATATAAATAAGTAATGATAAATTTAAAATGAGATCAATTCTTTTTTTATTCTATTTTTATTAAGAGTCAACTAAGTTGAATCGGCTTATACTACTAGTTAAAGATTTATATAAAAAAATTTTACTATTCTAACTGAGAAAAGCTTACTTATTGTACACTATTTTTAGTGTATCCATGCTCAATATTTAGATGTCTCCATAATGCCATTGTTGAATCACTAGTCTTTACTTTTGCAGCACAAGCCTCTCCATTCGCCATTTCAATATTATACACACCATATCGAATATTATCAATATATGCTTCTTCAAACCATTTTCAAGCTGGGCTGCGAATTGAGGATTTACCAGCTTTCTTTTTTATGATGATATTACTTGATCCAACAGATATATCTGGTGTATCATTATTATGATCAGTAATTCTTGCATTTTTCTAAAGATGCATTAGATCAAGTGTGTTTTTTGTTCCTAGTGTTATTTTTAGCTCACAGTTACAAAAAGGATCAGGGTTGTTTTCGTAGTTGGGAATGTGAAACTGCAGCTGATATAGTAACTTTTTCCTTTCCCCTTTTTTTTTTGCTTGAAAATCTTTTATTAGTTAATGGTCATGAATAATTAGAACCAGCAAGCACTATTTCTTCTGAGTTTAATTTTGACACGTAATCATCAATATTTTTACTAGATTCACCAGTGTATTCTTTTCTTTTTTGCGAACAAATTTCTGGTATGACTACACAATCCAAGTTATTTTCATTTATATCTGCGCTTGAACTTACCAAAGTATCTTCATAATTCATAGATTCTGATGAACTATCCATGTTTAATTTTTTTGAAGGATTTTTTTTTTTTTTTTGGCTAATATATATATAGGAAATCGTTTTGTGATGTTAAAATGAATGGGAAATCTAGTATCCACTTATAAGAATGGTAAAAGATTATGATAAGAACCCTATTACTAATTTTAGTATCAATAATAATAACAAAAGTCTACTAAAGGATAGTGTTTTTACTAATTGTTGTTCTTACATACTAGTAAATCTTGAATTTAAGGTTCTTACTAGTAAATTTCGAATTTAAGATTTTTATATATTAGTAAATCTTGGATTTAAGATTCTTATATACTAGTAAATCTTGAATTTTAAGGTTTCTAATTAAAGAATGGATTTGATAAATAATTATTCGAACATCGATCGAAATTTTGAGTATCGAAATAAAGTTTCATTCGTTAAGTTTTTAATTAGTCAATTATCGATCTTTCAATTAGTTTAATTAAAAAATGTATAGTTTGATTTAATATTAAATAAAGATATTACATTTTCTACTAATATTCCTGTATAAAGAAAACAAATCTTATCATAGTACTAACATTTCAGTTTATGAAGAATGATAACTGATAGTTTAAGTAAAACGAAATTAAAAATAAGTCAGCAACAAATATTGAATATTTTTGAATAATTTTTCATAAATTTCTTTTGTATCCTGACAATCTCTAATGCAATAAGTTAAAATCAAATTACATTGATTTTTTTTAGTAATTTCATCATATTCGTTGTTATGACATTAATTATTATATCATACATCTTTTCAATAGAGAGATCTTCCTTTGGATCCAATCCAATTTTTTCTGTCAAAATCTCATTTAAACTCCATGTTGTTAAATTTCCATAATGTTGTCGTACTTGTGTTTGCATATCATATACAATTGTACCACCAACTTTCATGAAATAATGATTTGCACTTTCACTCATGCTTATTTTTATTTTTCCACTTTCCGATGATATTTGATAACCGACTCGACACTTCTTAGTTTTTTTTCATATAATGTTTGATAAAATGTTTTGAATAATACATATTCATACATTTTTCGAATTATAAATTTCCAATCATATCCCAGAGTATTCCAACCACTCTCTCTATCAGGACTGAAATTTTTATACACTTGAAACATGGTTCTTAAGAAATCTGCTTCTGTTTTAACTTCGATCAGATCAATCATATCCTCATCTGGATTTTCGTATTTCATTGGAAATTCATCATTCACTAAAACAATCGCTATTATATGAAACGGTTTAACTTCAGAACCCCAGAATAACGCGTAAACCCCCATAAATACAACATCAGTTTTAAAACCTTTTGGAACTTTTCGCATCTTATAATCCATTATACATAACTGACTTTTCTTTATAGTTTCAAGATCCAATACATTGATAAATAATAATCCTTATTAATCTTATCAATAAATATCATTGTAGAATAATGAAATTTATTTATAGAACTCCACATATCTCTGGATAATTTTGTGTATGTTATGAAAGTGCCCGACAATGGAAACGCGACTTTTTCATTTGAATTTTTAAATTTGATACGTGTTCGAACTGATATAAACATTAAATATGATGTTGAAATATCATCCTCATATAATTCAAAATCAATTTCTTTTTTTCTAATCAATTCTCTCAATCATGTTATCTCTTGTTTTCTCCAATAATGATTTTTAAAATAAACTTTGACAAAAAAACATAATTTTTGTTGAAAATTAACACGTGCTTTATTTAGAATTTCTACATTCTTATAATTTCTACCTTTTTGCAACTCTTTTAAAATGTCACTATACTTTTGATAATTCGGTCTATTACACACATCTAACTCGTTAAGTTTTATATCAAAATAGACCAGAAAACCTTTTATCAAAATATACATGTATAAATTATTTGTACCAGCAACTTTTACTTTAACAAGGTATTCGTCAGTTTCTGGATCTCTAAAATCTTCTATATCATCAAGCATGTAATACTTTTTATCATTTGAAAATTCACCAGTAAAATCAAAACAGGTTTTCATTATTAAAATTTAAAATTTATTAATAATAAAATAAATGAAATAAACATAAATATTTATAATAAAACAAATTAATAATAATATTAGTAATCTATATATATTTTTCAAAAATATTTTTAATCTGACCATCAACCTTCACTTGATCATCAACATTATCAAATGAAATAATTAGATAATTCCCAAAACTCACAGAATTAATAACATTACTATTATATTCATAATAAATTTTTCTATAATCTTCTTTACTAACTGTATCATCATCACTATTCTCTATAACCTTATAACAATCACGTTTCACATTGATAAAAAAATCAAATTCAATCTTTTCAATAAAAGAATTGATATTTCTAATCAAATCTCTTTGTTTACTAGTTCCATTAAAAAATAAATTTGTATAAATTTTCACATCGTACAATTTATAATCAAACAAAATATACTTGTATCCAGATAAATCTTGATTATAGACCTCTTTAAAATATTTAACAATTCCATTTTGATGTTTGTCAAAATTTCTTCTTTCCAAATCTTTAATCACATCACTCAAATCTTTAGTAACAAAAATTTCTTCTTTTTTAATTTCTTTACTAATTAAATAGTCAACAACTTTTCCAATAATGTAAGATTTACCAACACCCAAACCTCCGGTAAATCCAAAAATAAATAGTCCTTCTTTCTTTATTATTTCCAAATTAAATTTGTAATTTAATTTAATCTTTGGACTTTGCATCCTTATCTTTCTAATAATTCTTTCTATTACATCTTTATGCGCATTTTCAATTTCAATATATTTTCTCTTTTTTAAATTAACCAAATTTTCAAAATACTCTTGTCTCAATTCACCAATTTTGTTAGTTAATTTTAATTTATAGGTTTCTGTTATATTAAATCTATCATAAAATTCTTCTAATTTTACAATTTTCAAATCCTGTTCATTTTTCAACAAAAACTTTTCACGTTCATTCAAATAATAAATATAAATATTTGGCACCTGTTTTGAACTACTGAAATGTTCAAGCCGTTTACTATCAGGATCTAAATATTCTATTTTTTTAATTGCTGCACTTGTTAAATTTTTTAAATTTTCTTTTTTAAAATCAATAAATTTATAAAAAAATCCAACATCTTCAGTTACATTATTATCAATACCAAATAAAGCAAGAAGATATTTTGATAATTTCAGTAATTCTTCAGAATCAGATAAATGAATATCAATCTCATTCGATTCGTGCATATTAACACCATTTTCATTTAAATTAGACATTTTATTTATATCAAATTCAATTAGTGAAAAATAGCAAAAAAACACAAATATTTATAAAAAAATCAATTATTAATTTTTATCAAATTAATTAATTAATTAATTAATAAGGAGAATAACCATTCTTTTTTCTATCAACTCTAACAACATGAGAATCTAATTTTCTATAATCAATTTGCACACCATTAAATCTTGATGATACCCCTTCAACATTTGTCACTTCCATAGTTAAAGAATTAAAAATATTTGTATCATTAGTAACATGCTTATGATTAATATTATAAAGACATTGAAATAAATTATCAACTGTGCACAAAAAGATTCTAGGATGAGAATTCTTAAAAATTTGACATTCATTACTATATTGAACACCTGAATTTGTTAAAAAAATACCATAAAAATCACTATTTCCATATCATGTCATGAATGTTCCAACAAACTCACGAAGTTGAGAAACATTAATAGTAGCACCTTTTTTCTCAGAAATATAATGATATTTTAATTGAAACACAACATTGACCTTATCAAAAGTTGTTGTAATATCAATACCATTATCAGGGATATTATTAATACATGTTGTACACCTGATTTGGACAATAACAATATTAAAACTATTAACATCAATATAATAAACTAAATCTGGTTTAAATTTAACACAATTCATTTTTTTTTCTAAATAAGGAGGAAATTTTTCTTTACCAAAATCACTATTAATAGCCAATGTAGAAAAAAAATTAACATCCAAATACGACCGATCAAAAATAACAATATCATATATCCAATATAAAATACTATTTATATATTTTTGGTATTCTTGGATAATTTTATCTTGATACCAAAACACGATTGATTCATCTTTTGAATTAACATTTAATTCCTCGTAATAAAGATCAAGTTTTTCTTCAATTAACTAAGAAACTTCTTTTCCAAGCAAAGCCCTTTTTCTTTCTTTTTGGAACTTTTTAAGTAAACTTTCTGCAAATTGAGTTTTACTAGCCCCAATTGTTTCCGTAATCACAATTTTCTTACATTTTTTATTCAGAAACTTATCAAAAAACAAATAGGTAGAAAAACAATACAAAGAACATATAAATCAAATGTATGGATTCCTTGATAAAAAAAAAGATTTTTAAAGATACAAAACTGAACAATAATGATTAAAAGGATTAATAAATAAAAAAGATTAAATGTGTTTAAAAAATACATCTTGTTAAATTTTATCAAAATAAACTGAATAAAATAAAAAAAAATGATTATTTTTATAATCATAAAATTTCGAAATTCACTAAAAATGGATCAATATGTTTAATAATTTTATCAACTGTATCTTCAATTTTGTCATTATTTTCAATTGATATAGCATCAGAACAAATTTTTAAAAATTCATCTTCATAATATTTTCTAATCTCTTCAGTTTGTTTTAATGTAAACACGTTTCTTTTACGTAAATTAAAATTTTGCTTTAATTTCTTGTCTGAGCATGTGATAAAAAATACCAACATTTGAGTATTGATCAATCTCAGCATTCGTTCTTTTGTGATGACCTCTTCATCAAACCTATAAACTCGTTTATGAATATCCCTATCAAAAACTTCTCTATCAACAATTACAAATCGTTTGAAATTAATTTCTTTTTCTAATTCAATACGACGATTATGATACCTGTTTAATAATCTATATTCAAAAGTTTTAATATTTTCCTCCTTAAATATTCATCTCCTT